TGCTGATGGTTAATGTATGAGCGTGAAGAGAAAAACGAAAAAGTGGTAAAGTCGTTTGCGTCGATTGGCGTAATTTATATATTTATAGATCGACGCGTGTATGTGCTTCGAATACATTCATTTCCATTGAAATTGTTACAAATTTGCACCTTTTATAAACCATTTTGCAACTATTAAATATCCAATTCATTCTATTTTTAATTGTATATAGAGAATAGTTTCCTAATATCAAATATCTATCAATATTATTTTTATTTAACACAAATTAAAGAAAAAATATATTTGTAAAATTTATTAAAATTAAGAAACAATACATTACTTTTCCATTCTATTTTAGAAAATAGAACCTACATAATATAAGTATATTGTTATAACATAACGAAACATCTAATCCAGAGTTTTTCAAACTTTTTAGTCACAAGGCACACTTGAAACTGTGGATACTTTTCCGTGACACAATTAAACTTTCGCGGCACATTTAGAACTTATTTATGTGGACATTATTGGACAATAATTTAATATTTAATATTTCGGCACACCGATTGAAAATCACTACTTTAACCGAATTACTTCTTAAAATACAGATGATTACTTCAAAGATAATCCATTCGGTTTTAATTTTGAGTTATTCCACAATTCTAACTTCAAAATAATTTTTAGAAGTTTGACTTTCAAATTCCTCGTCCTTCGAGATAAAATTCACAATTAGAAATAATATACATCTAATAATTCAAGTAATCTCAATAAATATTTGCATATTTTGCTTTAGCTTTTAGAAATTTTTCATAAATATTTAATACTTGTTACAATATATTTTATTTTATACAAAGCTGTATATTACATTTTAAATTTCATGTAATAATTATTCAAAATAAGTATAATTTCAACACCAATTTTCTATAATTACCTTTAAATGAAAACAAATGTATTGTAACACAGGAAACACAAAATGTACGTTACCGTTTTAAGATTTCTAAAACATTAATTATTATGAAAAATGAATAGCGGTTAATTAACGACATCTCGCAAATAAAGTAATTATCCCCTCTATATCTATATCTAATTATCTATATCTTTCCATTTCAATGGTTCAATTTAAAAAAAAAATCGTAGCTAAATGAGAAAAAGTGCGTGCGTAAGATCGAAGACCTGAAGCGGAGAAAGCAATGCCATTTACTTCCATCCCAGTGAAATGAAACAAAAATACGTTACGTATTAAATAGCATGAAAATTGTGTTCCATTTTAATGGATCGCAATTAGCGAAGTGATTACTCAAGAAATCGTCGAGTTTGTACTTTTAAAACTATATCAAAAGCTTTAGGAAATACCGCATAACAATTTTTTATATTAATTGCGGAAGTTTAAGAATGAAAAATGGGATTTT